CTCATGAAAGATCCCTTTTTATTGAAAAGAACTAATTTCCCTCAGATCATCTATTTTCCTTTAATTTTCTTTCAGCAATAGTTGCCCTTTTTGGTTTCTAACCAGATTTTCTTAATATATTGCTGAGTTTCCTATCAACCAAATTACTCTGGGGACTTCCTGGAACTAATGGTCCTCCACATTTTATTCTCTCTCCTTATCCTCATCCCTGCTACCCACCTTCTAGTTATCTTTTTTTTTTTTTTTTCTACAACATCTATGAGATTCAGAATCAATAAAAATTTCCTCCAATCCATCTCGTCAGGAGCTAAGCAGGTATCTTTTATTAGGAGAGGTGATTTGTGAAAGTTAGAGAATATATGGGATGCTCTGAATAGGCACTGTTTCACTGAGTCTTCTGCCTTCTTGCAGACCCTCACTTAAATTGCTTATGGTCATCATATTGCCAGAACTGGTGTTTCCCCTTATCTACCTTCAGCTGGACATGCTCAGCCAATGATGTCATGCTCGAGAGGGTTCTCTTATCCTAAGGCACAGCCTTTTGGATATCACAGAATGGAGTGAATTCTGAAAATTCAGGATGTGTTTCTTAATCTTTGCAAGGGCATTTAAGGATGTAGTCATCAAGTCCTGATTGCACTTCAGAAAAGGATGGAAACTCCAGGATGCCCTGTGGTTCTTGATTTCCCATGCCTTTGCTGGAGATATTGTAACCAAGGCATAATTCTTGTATTATTTCTATAAACCCTTCACTGAATAAGTATCTAAGAACCATGTAGAGATTAAATCAGACTGATAAACTTTGGCCATGTTTCTCCAACTGCATAACCGAAAACCAGAATCAGTATTAGAGCCTAAGGAAACATTTCCATCTCTGCTAGATATTTTTACTGTTTGTGTTTAATTTTGTCATTGTATATAAAAAGAAGTCCACATAATCTTAATTAACTTCTCTCTATTCAAACAATGTAGTTAATGCCAGAGTAATCTGACACACAATATGCATTCTGAAACACAAAGCATATGGAAGTGCCAGTAATTCCTTGCAGATCAATACTGGCTCTGGAGTGCTATGTGGAAGGTGGAGATGTTGAGGAGACCTTTTTATCTCTATATGCTTCTAATTTCCCTTCTCTTTCTTCTTTCCTTAAGGTATTAAAAAAAAAACCTACCATCTTGTATTTAGAATTACAAATTCTTTGCAAAATTTCTCTTTTGCTCTGTAGGTTTGTACAATAAATATTTGTATACTATTAAATAAAACAACCCAAGGACAGCTCTTTTGTCTACAAGTGAAAGGCATGCAAGGACTGCATCCACATATCTTAGCATTGTTCCATCCCACACCAGAATATCTGTGTCCAAACTGCCTGTTGGTAACAATCCCTGACAGTGCAGTCACCAATACCATGCATGAGTCCCATCCCAAATGCGTTGGTTGCTATAGGATAAAATAATGTCAGTGAGCAAAACCAAAGGAATAAAATTATCCAGTACTCTGGTACAAATCTCTGAACCTATTTTATTCAGGACAGTTACAGTTTTGATTTTTTGGACATTTTTTGTCCAAACATCAGAAACTAGTAGTCAAAAGGAGCAGGATGAAGGTGTACATACAACATGAAAGAAGATTCCAGCTGTTGTGGCCAACTATTAGCTAAAACAAGGAAAAACGGAAAAAAAACTGCAACCAAATTGCTTTCAGCTACACAATTAATGCTCCATATTCCTTTCTGAAATATCGCCCAGTAATAGCAGTTATTTTGCTATGTCAATGTATTATTTATTCTCTAATGATTTTTTTCCTGTAAGGATATCTGCTGGCATGACCTATGCCTATGAGCTATGGATGACTGAAGCAATAAGGACAAACAGATGAAGCTTGGTGTCCACATCTTAATTAAGCTGAATAACAGTTTGGTTAAAATAACATTTTTTTTTTTTCCTTGACTTGAAAGTCAGCACACTCACCTTTTTATTTGAGGTTAAATGTAATTCCTCAAGGTGCATGAAGTAAATAGTTGTTAAACATTTAAAATGTTTTACATGAATCAAAAATCTCTGGAATGCTACAATCACTAATGACTTGCCATCATTCATCTCTGTCACAGGCAGGCAATGCAATTCCAGGAACTGCACAGGACATGAGGAGTGGAGCACTTATTGCAGAGTATCTTTCTTACTCTCCTTGGGGCTCTACAGAGTGATTTATATGGTATGCACTCTCCTTGTCTACTCCATTTTCTGTTTATCTGAGCATGAAACAGGTGTTGGGAGGAATCCATAGCTTTCAAAAATATCAGTATTTTTACAAGGCTTCACATTGGAAATACTGGGGGTAAACTCAAATTGTAAATGGAAAAAAAAGCTAAGATTTCTTGTGGTTTCCACAGAGCTGCTGTGTCTTTGAGACTTGAGCTCTTTCTGTACACTTGGAAGTAAAATAAAATAATTCTCCACTTCACAGATCAAGGGGGAAACAGAAGGCATTTGTGGGTTAACAAATAAATGGTGATATATGAAGTTTCCCCCGTAAGCCTATTGCATTTCAGTGACAGGCACTCTCCTTACACTTAAAGTGTCCTTTTATAACCTTCTTAGATGAATGGGCAGCTCAGAGCAACTCCAGGTTTAGAGCATGAATGAAAGTATAAATCTTATCCTAGTCCATTTTCCTGAATAGCTTCACAAGAGAAATTAGTTGCATGAGCCTTCTTTTATTTCAGATGTAGCTCTTTCCCCTTTCAGTGCTCTGAACCATCTGTTCTTTTCAACGTCTTGATAAAAGTCTTTTTCCTCAAAATAAATGGTGCACAAAAAGGTTTCCAACATAATCTGCTTGTACAATCTTGTTTTGTCCTGTTGTCACATCCATCCCAGATCACTGCCTTAGCCTGTTCTCCTCAGAACAAACCAACAAGCCTAGGTCTGGACCAACAGTTAAATATTCATAGCCATCAGACCCAAATAGCTGAAATGAAGAGAGCACACAGGCACATCAAGGTTCTGGAAAGTCGAGGTTTGAATCCCTACAGGATCTCAGGCCATCAATGGACAAAGACATTATTGTGTTGCGCCCCATATATGCCAAGAAACCTTCCTGCGAGTCCCTCACTTTCTTTTTCTTTTTTTCACCTTCCCCTCTGCTGAAACACTTAGAGATTATCCCATTACAGAAGGAGAATAATTTTGTAAAAATGAACATTTTGTGGAACCTAACTACTTGGCTACATCCCTCACTCTGCACACGAGTCTTGCTGTGCCACAGGAACATGAAACAGCCTGTTCTTCTGACTAAGGGTGACTCAAAGCCAAACAAAAGTCCTCAGTAAGCAAACCCAGTTGTTTTATTTATGGCGTATAGATGGTTTAAATACCAAAATCTGAATGAATCTTTTCAAAGGAGATGGAAGGCTCCTTGGGAATCTCTGAAATGCAGATCCTTACACCACTCCAGCTGCTCTCAGCTGTCTGATGCAGTCATAGGAATGCTCTGGTTGGGTAAAGGTAAGTGCAATTAGTTTACATCTGTCTCCAACAGCTACTGGCTGAGAACAGGTTAACCTATATCTGAGTAGCCACTTCCCAGCCCTTATCTTTGAATCTCTGTTGTTAAGCAGCAAGAACAGAAAAAAATCCCTACACTTCTCTTTTTCTTTCTTTGTAAACATTTCCAGTTCACACTACATTATTCAGAAATAAATTGTATAGTACCGTCAGACAGAAATAAATTAGTCCAGTAGAATCAAGGATTTGGTGCTTTAACTTCAAATAGTTTACAGTTTAGACTTCCGAGAGAAGCTATCACTTTCAATTTACTGCATGGAAGTCATACACCGAAAAAGAACTTTCTTATAGTTATGCATGACAGGTCCCACTGCAGCTAGAAACAGGTATTTTTCACTGGAAAAAAAAGCAAGGCCAACTCTCTCTCAACCTTGCTTTTTTGAAACTCTAAGCTGTGTTGCTCCATTCTTATTCACAATCACCAGTTCCTGAAGTCCTTACACAAGCATCTCAAAGGGCTAAGTTTAGCACTGCTGTGCAACAGGGCAGAGAGGGGATAGAGGCTGGTGTGCTTCTAGTAGGACAGTCTCACCATCCAGCTTCCAAGACAGCTGGGCAGAGCTGCAGGCCTTACAAGTTTACCTGAAGGTCTTGCCAGAACATCCGGTTTCACTGACATCATTTTATTTGTGTGCCTGTAGAGTTCATGCTTTAAACAGCATCAGGTCATCATTACAATAATGCACTGGGGAAAGCAGCAGACCACATTAGCTGACTCCTGGTATGTGCCATTTTGTGGTCAATACACCATTTTTCCCACCTCATTTAGGGTCATCTTGCTGAATATGTGGCTGAGACAAAGATCCCATTACAGTTACATTGATTTCTTTTACTTCTTTGCTTACTAGCCAAGGGTCTTTTCCTGCTGGGTGAACACATCTCAGTGAGCTTTCCTTTCTCCCTTTGGTGGTTAGGGAAGGAACCACTGATAGTGAGCTAAGAGAAAGGATTACCTGTATATAGCCTTCAGGACAGTATGTACATGTCAGCACATTGGCTCAGGAAGAAAAGGTGATGGTTAACAAACTTTGTTTTGGAAAAATGTATTTCAGGTCCTCCCACAGGCTATACCAGCAATTCTTAACACATTGTTATGCAAATGAGGCAGAGCTTCACACTGTCTGTGTACATGATGCACTTTAAACTGCAGTAAAAAAAATGGTTGATATAGATCAAATGTTTGTGTGTTCACCTTCCCTTACACGATGCTTTTAAAGCTGGCCAAGCAGACTTGCCTGGCATGTCGTGAGAATGCTGCATGTCTTTGTAGACTATGCAACATTACAACCTGGCTGGCATTGCCTTCTGTCTTGTAGATATATACATGTGTAGGAGAGACCACAAGTGTGTGTTTGACGAATGCTTGACTGGACTGTCTTTTTTTTAGCCCTGCTCAGTAAAATGACTGGCTATAATCGCATCATATTACTCACCTGCCCAGCAGCAAAAATTCTCCAGCAAGTCCCAGGCGCCTCATAGCCATTAAGAGCCCTCTCACAGTCATGCCCTCACAGAAGCAGGCAACCACTCTTGCCTTGGGCAGGTGGCTCCGAAGTTTTCGCAGCAGCTTGTCAAAGCTCTGTTCACCAGCATTGCTGTAGATCTTGTACGAATGTGCAATGCAGATCCCTTCCTTTGCTGCCATATCTTTGAAAGCTTCCATTCCACTTTCACCATAGTTTCCTAAACACAAACAGAATCAAATATGCATATATTAAAATCTGCAGAATGTTTTCATGCTTTGAAAACAGCAAATATTTTAAAGAATACATATGTGCATAGAGATCAGTGTACCAATCTTAACAAAACAACTTTAACATTTTAATTTATTAGTCCGTTTTTCAAGTCAATGTCAACATATTTTCCCCAAAAAAACACTTCTGTTCAGGAGCCTGCATCTCTGTTGAAATCAAAAGCTGTTAGGTACCTCAATACCAAATTTCTACAACAATGTGTTTATAAATAGCACTCTTTCTTCTGATTCTCTTAAGCTGGCCAAATGTGGTCAAGTGCTCTGGATTTTACTTGAGAAAATCATAAAAATATGTTCAGAGTAAATATTTTAAGTATAAGCAAAACCGAGTAATGACTCATAACGTTACTGTGTTCACAGGGCAGTCTGAAAAGCAACAATTTTTTAATTACACTGAAAGGTAAAACTTATCCTATGAAGAAAGAGTTTCTGGTGACTCAGGACAGTGAGTGGCAAAATTGAGGATTGGCATTACAGAGGTCAGGGGTTCACAGATGGACTAATTGTACTTCTGAATTTATTTTTTTTTTTTTTTTTCTTTAAAGTCATTGTCTACCAAACCAATAGGAAAGACTTCATATTTTCTTTCAGTCTATTCCCCTGTGGGATAAATTGACAATAAATATCAAAATAGATATATTTTATGTATTGTTATTTGTTCTATCTCACCATGGAAATTCTTCATTGCCAGTCCTAAATAAAAGTCACAGTGCTTAAACAGAGGGTGTACTGATGCACACTGACAATCACCCTGACCAGGACTGTCTCTGTGGTTCCCTCCGTACCTCCATCTGGGTGTCTAAATCTGTTTCATGTCTCATTTAAATAAGAAGGCCTTCGAGAAAGGAAACCTTTCCCCAAAATATTGCCTTAGCACCTCAGTAATATTCCACAGAAACACAGTCGGTAAAGTAATGAAACTGAGAGTGTTAAAGTAATGCTGCTGCAAGGAACTGCTGATCTTTCACTTATTTCTGTTAGCTTGCAGATGGAAGAATCTGTAAGGAAAATGCTTTCTTTCACCAGCATATTTAAAATTATATAAAAGCACTGACAGTGAAAATGTGTGTGAAGCAATGAGAATCAAACAGCTATCTTTGGGCTGTCATCTGGCTGTCACTTTGTGATCTTGGATATTGGAGCCACCAGGCATTCAGCATGCCCACCTGGGAAATTGTCCCTGTCTCTCTGACGCTAAGTTTTATAGGCTGCATTAAGCACAGCACCGTACATGAATGTGAAAAGCACTGTCTCCAGTTTGAAAATCTTACAATCTGAATCACCAAAAGAGACAAAAAACAGAGGAGAGGAAATATGATTACCTTCCTCCGCATCAGGAATGAATCACTGAGACCTTGACACCCACCCAGCAAGGCAACCTGAATACAGATCTCCTTAGCTGATATGACTTTAATTTTCCTCCCTGTTGTGATCAGACCTGATGGAAAAGTCATTAGTATGCAAATTGTGCCTAGAAAAAATGTCGTAGGAATTTTAAACTCCAGTGTTTCAATGCTTTCTAGGAGGTGTAAAACAGGTTCCTGGTGCTTCCTCATGTGTTACACTCTTAGAGCAAATTATGTTTCCTGTGATACATAAGCATCAAGTGATTCCCATGAGATGCTGAAACAGATCAGCCAGAGGCTGGAAAGGTGGTGAAAGATCTATTATAGCCTCAGAAGTCAGTCTGAATGAAAAATGAAGGTCAGTCACATATAACCATCACCAGGCCCTAAGGCTATCTAAAATAAAATTAAGCTGTTTGACAGGAAATACACTATTTTGCTTAAAATTATTCTCATTTAACTCAGTCTAAATCAACGTTATGTTCTGTTTCATTTTTCCCATTAGAAAATAAAAAGGAAAAAAAAATATATCAAACTTTGCCATAGATGTTGAATATTTGAAGAAAAGTTGTTCCTTGGTCTATCTCAAAGAGACTGAAATTCTGAAGACCTAATTTTCTGTCAAAAGTTTGTGAATGGAAAATTCATGGCCAAGTCTCATTGACTTACAGAACTGGAGCTCTTCAATGTTCCAGATAGTGCACTCTTTGTTTGAAAGTGTTATACATTTACATACTGTTAACCTCAGAATAGGTTTAACTGCAGTACTGAAATAATATAGGTCTTGCAGTGAAAACAAAGTTCATTAACTCTCTTCCAGTCACATAAAGGTTTCTGTGGCACAAACACCATGGTCACATCATGTATATCAAGACATGGATGTCTTGTGAAACCACACAGAAAGCAGTGCATCATCTAAAATGAGCAGAAACATGTTAAACTAACAAGACCACTTAGCAAACCTTTACATTCTGAACATCTGGAAGAAGAATATCCTAGCAGTCCAAATCTGACAGTGACTGAGCTCTCCAACCAGGAAAACTATAGCTGTATGGCACAAATTCAAGGGAGATTTGATAAGAACAGAAACTAGCTTGGCTTCAAGACACTCATCCTAATACACCAGTGGAGCTCTTGTCATGATCATAGATGATTAAACCCCACTTAATTAATTATTGATAGTGAACTCTCCTGTTGTGCGAGAGGGTTGATGAGGTATGTATATTTAATTTGAGCTATACTGTGGGGATAATGAACTCTCCTTGATGGAAAAAGGAAACCTTTTCTGCTAAACTCCTTTGCATCACATATTAGGATGAATTTCCTCTGAGCTGTCTTTCCTTCTGAGGAAAACCTGTATGTGCATGAAGGTAGTCCTATGGGAACAGGAAACTGAGGAAATTACATTACATCATTTCCTTGAGGATGAGATGTGAGGATCACAGTGGAAGAGCAGCTCCATGCTTTCTGTATGGAATTGGGCTCCTCAGGGAAATTTGCTTCTCGAACTGTGTCATTCCCATATTAGTAGTACTAAAACTAACACAGCAACAGCAGGGTTCCACTAGCAGGGCAGCTTCCACTCTTCAGCCAGGTCTGTGATACAAGGAGAAGGATATGGGACTTCTGGACTTACACACATGTCAAGTTCAGAACTTATGCAGCCTGAGTTTGAGGAGTTTGTAGTTTCATTTCCAAGTGGAAACTAATTCAGAATCTCTACTCTGGCACAAAAGAAACATCTTTTGTGAGCACCCTGTGTTGGAATCTGTCTGTGTCCTGGTAGTTTATCTATATAGCTGTTCCGTTTCTGCTTCTAAAGTTTAAGAATGATCCCAAGGAAAAATTAAACAGAAGTGAAGGATTGTTTTACTTTTGCTTGGCTACTTGCAGTTAAGCAGAAAACAGCAAACACAAGCTGAAACTGAAATATAGCAAAATTATACTCAACTTCTCCCCCACTAACCTCCATCTTCATTTCAGCATTTAGAAACCAGCACCTCTGTATTGTGACTGGTTCTGAGGGAGGAATTGTCACTGTTTTTTAGTTGCTGTTTATCTCTTGAACGTTAGTCTGCTGGTGGCGCAATCAGAGCTTCTAGCTCTTGATGCCATTTGCAAATATGTCCTATACTCATGGCAACAACTGGCATCTGGGTTGTTTAAAAATGCCATCCTGAATCCTCCATGTTGCCTACCTGAACATCTGGCCCTAAGACCAGTTCAAAAGCTACTTCCATATGTCTCCACACTTAAAAAAAAAAAAAAAATCAATTGCATCATCATGCAAGAGACTTAACCCTATTTGAGTTGGAATTTTATTCAAAACTCAAGCATATGCATCCCCGCCTACAGTCTAACTATAACAATCTGTTAGTTCCACTTCAAATGAATCAGTACTAGAAACTATTAAGAAGCTTAAAAAGAACAGATTGTGCTTTTTTTCCAGATGAAGCTTAATATAGTACAGTACATAATAATACTTCAATCTGATAGAAAAGGGTCAGGCAAACTGCAGGCTGCTCTTGCTGCTTCTCCTGCTCAGCAGCTGGGGCAGTTAAACTATCTGCACACAAACTGTGAAGATCTTATCTACATTACACAGCAAAATAGCAAGGTTTTTCATCTTAAAATAATAAAATACACTGACATCTGTCCTGTCACACTAAAGGTTATCAACATGAGACAAAAAGTCCCTACAGCCAAATAGAATAATGAACTACATTTTCTCCTGTGATTTTTGGGGTGATTTTTCTCCTGTCACACATTGCTTTTTGAATACAATACGATTAATTTAAGAATAATACCTCCTCCATCCTTAAAATTGCTGTACCTGCCTTCCTTAAGCAGACACAATCTCCAAGTGATTCAGAGGGCATGATGTAACAAGTAAGGCCTTATAAGGGACATAAAACACCGGCGACTGAATGTAGGACTCTGTCCTTAGCTATCTCTGTGTTCATGGAGAACCCATGTATCTATTTCCTTGAATGTTCATCTTTTCTATTCAAACTGAAAGCTCTTCAAACAACATTTATCTATTGCCAAGAGCTGGTAAAACTCAGACCCAAAAGGGTTGCCTGTATCTCTGGTGTCTTGATAGCTGAAGCTACTACCATTGCAGATGTGTCAATATAGAAAAGAATTTGTCATCACAATATCATACTGGCTATAAAAATTTCCTTTCCTGTGAACAGTTTTGAGATTTTAAATTTTTTACATTTGAGGACAAGAAATGTTTTCACAACCAAAAAAATATTAGTTAACCAAAACTCCCCACTGATAATCCTCTTCATTTCAGTTTGACTGAAATAATATGTTGAAATGATTTTGTACTATTTAATTTAGTTACTGACCATTTTATAGTTTCATATAAGCCTCATGTTACCTTCTACAATGTAAAATAAAACCAAAATATGTATTTCGAATCAGGAAATTGGTTGATATTTTTTAACAAATAATTTACTGAAATATTTTAATATTTAAAAATAAATTCAACATGTTTAATTAAGAAATTAGTTAAATTCTTTTCTGTGGGGTTTTTAAGTTTCCGCTAGAAGGTATTTTCCTACCTGAAGTTTTCA